ATGCTCCATCCTTCGCTAAAATGATCGGGTGCCGTTGATTAAATGACAACTCTGCTCTCTGTAAGCGACCACCGACTCGAAGTATCTGTTTTTCGTCCAAGAAGGGATTCAGGGACTTTAGCTTACTTGTGGAACTTATGCTGGAATGAGATCTGAACGAATTAATATCTGATAGGTACACATTACCTTGTGACTGTCGAATGTGAACCTCAAGGGCCCATGCCCTCTCCTCTGTGGTCAGCGGATCGCCTCGGTGACCTCGGAATGCAGGTAAGATCGCCGTAGACGTGCCGTAGTGTTAAGCAGTCTATTCAGACGGCTAAACTTTTCCACCAAAGGAATTCGTCTGCCACCGAATGTCGTGCGCAATAATCCACATGTCGCATCCACATGTCGCACGGTCACCAAGCTGCGAGGGGGGCGGCTCTCCAACGTTGCTGTCTGTTGTTCTTCGTCAGTCAAAGCAGGCAACTCGGTGCTACGGTTGAAACAAGTGTACATAATTGGTGGACCAGTCCACCAGAGTGGATGATCTTCAAGCGCCGTTGGTGGAATGCCACGACTGGCGCAGTCTGCTGGGTTGTGTTCACTTCGGATGTGTCGCCAACACTTCACTTCAGAATGAGTTTGTATGATTGCCACACGGTTGGCTACATACGGCTTTAGTACGGTCGGTGCTTTCTGGATCCAGTGGAGGACAATGGTCGAATCACTCCAATACATACAACCTGCGCTGTCCAGTCGCAAGGCGTGACAAATCTCTTCCATTGTCATAGCGAGTAGTCGTGCTGCACTGAGTTCCATTCGTGGAATTGTAGTACTCTTACTGGGTCCTACCCTTGTTTTGGCCGCAACCAGGGATACGCGTACCTCACCCTCTGGATCTTCGATGCGCACATAGACGACCGCAGCGTAAGCTTTGCTGCTGGCGTCACAGAAGCCGTGAAAGTTTACCGTGGACGTCTTGGTCATGCCCAACCAATGCAACACCCGAATACTGAAAAGCTGGTACAAACCATTCCGAAATGTTAACCATTCATCTCGTAAATCGCCTGGTAATGGTGTATCCCATGGCAGCTCTGCCTTCCAAAGCATCTGGATAAAAATCTTGGCCCATACGATCACCGGCGACAATAATCCCGATGGGTCGTATAATCGTGCGACATCGCTTAGTACGTTGCGTTTAGTAGGAATTGCATCGAGCACCGGCAACCGTACTTTGTAAAATAAAGTGTCATTATTAGGGTTCCAGTGCAAGCCCAGTACAGTGGTATCAGAATTACTCGGAAACGACTCGGTGCTGGCAACTGATGCATCCGCAAGTGCCGTCAAGGTCAGCGTGCAATTGGAGTTCCACTTACCCAAAACGAAATGGCCTTGGCGCAGGATCTTGTCGACATTACGAGCACGCTCGATTGCCTCTGTAGTAGTATTTACACTATCCAAGTAATCATCGACGTAAAAGTTTGAGAGTATGCTCTCCTTGGCCTCAACTGCCCGGTTGATATTGTGGATAACTGAAAAGTTATCACTGGCGCACTGTCGCAATGCGCGAATAGCGTTGTACGGTCCACAAGCCATACCGTAGGTGACCGTGTTTAGGCCCATACCTAAATATGCTGCACCACCCTAATGTGCGGTAAATAATTTTGTATCTGAGTGCACACACACATATATAAGATACAGCTAACATTCCAGCCATTAACAATATGCCCCGCCGTACGGTAACTGAGTTGAGGGGAAACTCAACGAAGGTTACTGTTCGGCGGGCTCAAACCTGTTTTCGTTTATTGGCACTCCTTCACTTCCTAGAAGACCAGCAGAGCGACTGCCAGCCACCACACCACGTCAGCAAGGTAATTTCATTAAGCTATTAGCAAAATTTATAGTTAAATTCACTCTGTTTTATTAAATATTTTGTCTCAACAAATAAAGCAAACATTTGTTATTATTGTTAACCATTAAATACTAAAACGCTTTTTTTTTTTATACCCGAGCGCACTTGTGCACAAGGGTATATTAATTTTGTTCACATAACGGTTGTTTGTAACAGCCAAAACGGATCGAGATAGATATAGACAAATGTATACATAAATGATCCGGATGAAAAAAGAAATCGATTAAGCCATGTCTGTCTGTCCGTCCGTCTGTCCGTCTGTCCATCTGTCCGTCTGTCCGTGTACACGATAACTCGAGCAAAAATTGAGATATCTCAACGAAATTTGGTATGTAGGTTTCCCTTAATCCAAGGTAGGTTGGTATTGAAAATGGGCGAAATCGGACTTTAACCACGCCCACTTCCCATATAACGGTAATTTCCAGAAATACGAAAACTGCGATATTTTCGTTACTACTGAAGATAATTCACTCAAAATTGATATTTACAATAATTTTTAGACGAAAAATAAGAATATTATAAATTTTTGGAATATGGGCGTAGCCACGCCCACTTATGGTTACATGTGTATATCTTGGTAACCGCTGCACCAATTTCTTCCAAACTTGGCACAGTTGTTGGCCTTCGCACAACATACGAAATGGCCGAAAATTTTAAAAATCGCTCAATAACCACGCCTACTTCCCTTATAACGGTAATTTTCAGAAATACGAAAACTGCGATATTTTAGTAACTACTGGAGATTATTCACTCAAAATTGATATTTATAATAAGTTTTAGACGAAAAATAAGAATATTATAAATTTTTGGAAAATGGGCGTAGCCACGCCCACTTATGGTTACATGTGTATATCTTGGTAACCGCTGCACCAATTTCTTCCAAACTTGGCACAGTTGTTGGCCTTGATACAGCATAAAAAATCGCCGAAAATTTTTAAAATCGCTCAATAACCACGCCCACATCCCATATAACGGTAATTTAGAGAAATACATAATCTTCGATAAATCAGTAAATATTGAAGCTAATTTATTCAAAATTGATGCTTGCAACAATTCTTTACCAAGAAATACGTTTATGGTAAAATTTTGGAAAATGGGCGTGGCACCGCCCACTTATGATCACATATAATTATATCGGTAACCGTTCTACCAATTTGTACCAAACTCGGTATTTTTATTGTGCTTGCTACAGAAAAGCAAAACGTTGAAAATTATTGAAATCGGACTAAAATTACGGCCGCTTTTTATATAACGGTAAATTTCAGAAATGCTTGAAACTTCAATAATTCGAAATTTAAGGACGCTAATTTACTCAAAATTGATACACCCCGGCTTACCAACTAGCGGTAGCTTTCGGAAAGGTGAAAAAACATCTATTTAATACTTGCGCCGGGTATTTAATGTTCGGCTCCGCCCGAACTTAGACTTTCTTACTTGTTTTTACTTATTTTCTTTACGTGCGAGCGCCTTAACAATTCCAAGACGCCAGCGCCAAAAATACAGTCCATACGCACTACTGCCGCTTGATCGTCACATTACCACAATTTGCAAGGATCATCTGCCAGTTGAAGGCTTTTTTATTATTGATACACCGCAAAAGGACATAGGATACACTGCCACTTGATCGCTACATTTGCCACAGCAGCAACCGTTCCAGCAACTTATTTTATCGCAAAAGCAGCACTTCCATTTACAAAGGTACGTGGTTTTGATTTCACACCTAAGTGCACTTTCAAACATTATTTATAAAATCGAGTGTCAAACAAAAATATCGCGGGTGAATTTGTGAGAAAAAGGGTAAAATAGATTTAATTTGCTTTGAACTTCATAAAAAAATTTGCAAACCGTTCGTTTTTTTCCACATTCGCTATTAAGATACACCGAAGATACCGCCATTTTGAAGTGATCAGGTGTTGTTGTTGTTGCAAGGTGATTTATTTAAAGCGAAGCACTTGCTTAATACAAGTTTTTCGGTGCACAATTTTAAGTTCATATCACTTTCACCTTGAATTTGATATTTTATTATAACTCCTTTTGTGTCACGGATCTATAAGTTGTTTTTCAGCCTTGTGCTATTAAGATTTCACTTGGGACGTTGTTGATGGAGTAAAGTTACTTGTTTTAATCAAAGCACTCGTTTAATAAAAGTTTTTCTCGGTGCACATTTTTTGGTACGTATCATCTCACTTTGAGTTGTTATTTTTTATTAAAACTTTTTCCTATCACTGGTTTAATAACCTTTTCTCAGCTTTGTGCTATAAAATTTCACTTGGTACGTTGTTGTTGCGGTTAAGTTAACCTTTCAATATAGGCACTTATACAGTAGATTTTACAACGTACAATTTTAAATTATTATCATTTTCACCTGTTGACTTTGGTATTTAATTATAACTCCACCTTAGTGTCACTGGTTAGAGATTGGGTTAGCTAGTGCCTTAAACACTTCACGTCACTTTTTTTGGTGTATCAAGTATTTGATTGCGCATGTAAACATATATCGCTGTAAAGTGTGGCGCAAATACCTCGTCGGCTTGTAAAGCGG